ATGATGTTTCTCTATCATCGATGTTTCTATCTCTCTACCCCTCTCCTTCCCCTTTCTCTAAAAATTAATAAAAACATATTAGAAAGAATTATAAAGATCAAGATAATATTAAAAAATATACATAGGTAGAATGATGGAGTTAGAAAATTGGCCACTCACTTGGATAGGGACAGGGAGGAGGGGAAGGTTTAAGCATCTTGTGGTGAAGCATTCAGTCCCTACAAGGCCCAGTTACATTCCAAGAGCTGTTTTTCAATGGGCGTACAATTATCTGCTGCAGATGCATGACCTTGCTCTAGAACCCCAGGGACCTGCATTGTGATTCTCCTCTGGACTTGCCATAATTCCCACCATTGACACTACAGTCTGCTGGATCAGATGGTCCAAGTGTCAATCAGGGATGTTTGCCCTAAAGCCTGAAACTGTTGCAGAGCCCTTTCCTGTTCTGGGCCCCATTCAAAACTGGCATCTTTCAAAGTCACTTGGTAGGTAAGTGAGAGCATTATTCCTAGTTATAGAATGTGTTGCCTCTAGAAGCAAAAGAGGCCTAACCTACGAAAAATATGCTTAAAAAGAAATGTAAGCATTGAGGTCAGGATGGATGCTAAACATGAATTTCAAATCTGGTTCTTGAGCTTCCTGACAGTAAATCAAAGAGAGGCAAGACTCTTATCAAAAAGTGGCTTCCATAACTGAAACCATGAAAGTCCTAGAAGAAAACTCCCTGACATTACTCTTATTTTTTGGATAGATCTCCTTGGGCAAGGAAAACAAAGGAAAAAAAAATAAACAAATGGGACTACATCAAACTAAAAAGTTTTTGCACAGTATAAGAAACCATCAATATAATGAAAATACAACGTACTGAACGGAAGAAGATAAAATAGTTGCCAATAATACATCTGATAAGGGGTTAATAATTAAAATAAAAAACAAACACAACTTAACACCAAAATAATAACAACCTGATTAAACACTGGCAGAGGACCTGACTAGACAGTTATCCAAAGACATACAGATGGCTAACAGACATATGAAAGGATGCTCAACACCACTAATCATCAGAGAAATGCAAAATTAAAACCTCAATGAGATATCACCTCCCACCTGTCAGAATGGCTATCATCAATAAGTCAACAAAAAACAAGTGTTGGCAAGGATGTGAAGAAAAGGGAACCCTCACATACTGTTTGGTAGGCCTGCAAATATGTGCAGCCACTTTGGAAAACAGTATGAAAGTTACTAAAAAAATAAAAAATAGAACTACTACATAATACAGCAATCCCAATTCTGGGTATTTATATGAAGAAACCTAAAATACTAATTTGTAAATATAAATATATATGGACTTCTATGTTCGCTGCACCATTATTTAAAATATCCAAGCTATAGAGACAACCTAAGTGTGCATTAGTAGATGAGTGGATAAAAAAGCTGTGGTACATTTACACAATGGAATATTATTTGGCCATAAAAGAGTGAAAACTTACCATCTGCAACAACATGGATGGACTCAGAGGGTATTATGCTGAGTAAAGTAAATCAAACAAAAAAAATGACAAATACTATATGATTTCACGCAAACAATGAAAACAGAAACAAACTGGTAGATACAGAGAACAAATTGATGGTTGTCAGAGGGAGGAAGGTTAGAACAATGGTTCTCAACCTTCTGGCCCTTTAAATACAGTTCCTCATGTTGTGACCCAACCATAAAATTATTTTCGTTGCTACTTCATAACTGTAATGTTGCTACTGTTATGAATCATAATGTAAATATCTGATATGCAGGATGGTCTTAGGTGACCCCTGTGAAAGGGTCGTTCGACCGCCAAAGGGGTCGCGACCCACAGGTTGGGAACCGCTGGGTTAGAGGGATGGGTGAAAAATGTAAAAGGGATTAAGAAGTACAAACTGCCAGTTGTAAAAATAGTCATAGGGATATAAAGTACATAGGGAATATAGTCAATAATATGAAGAACATAGGGAATGTAGTCAATAATACTGTAATAGCTATACAGGGTGTCAGATGAGTACTAGACTTGGGGTGATCACTTCGTAAGTTATATAAATGTCTAATCACTATATTGTACACCTGAAACTAATATAATATTGTATGTCAATTCTAATTGAAATATACATTTACAAATTAAATGAAAACAATTTTAAGTGGCTTCCAGAACTTTTTTAGAATAACACTCTAGCCTATCTTAAATGGGATTTTATATAAAAGGGCACTGTATGACACAAAGGACAATGTTTTTGAAAATACAGCGAATATGATTAACATGTTTTATATGGTTACTTCCAATAGTTTGCTTAGGTGAAGGTCAAAGTTGTCATATTAAAATGCTACTTAGTGAAGGTGATATTGCTTGGGCTGTTTTTGCAATACATATTGCTTTTACACTAAAGAATTCTTTTTTTAAAAAAAAATATATTTTATTGCTTTTTACAGAGAGGAAGGGAGAGGGATAGAGTTAGAAACATCCATGAGAGAGAAACATCCATCAGCCGCCTCCTGCACACTCCCCACCGGGGATATGCCCGCAACCAAGGTACATGCCCTTGACCGGAATCGAACCTGGGACCCTTGAGTCCGCAGGCTGACGCTCTATCCACTGAGCCAAACCAGTCAGGGCAACACTAAAGAATTCTTATACCATATGGATTAGTTTTTCCAATTGGACAATAGTTCTTATTTAATGTTTAGGAGACCATAGAACAGAAATAACAGATGACTTGACATGGCTAGTATAATTACATCATTTAGAGGTAGGCCTAATCATTGAACCTCTACATTCAGCAGGAAAGCTTAATGTTTCTCAGAACTTTAACAGGATTGCAAACCAAAGCTTCAGATGTATTTGCTAAAAATTTTATCCCCTCAAAAGGGTGCCCTTCTCTCTACAGGGAATTAGTTTGCTGCAAGTGCATATATAGTACATTCTGGAGATAAAGAATCGTAAAGGTAAACAGTTTCAGTGTTAAAAAGCAGAAACACCCAATTTTCAGTATTAAGTGAAAACAATTCTGTAAACTAAAAGCAGTAACATATAAACCACCTGTATTGACTGTGCACAAACACATTGGAATGTTTCTAAAGTGTGTGGAAAAGGCCAGGGACAGAAAGGAATAATCAACCTGAGCAGCATCTGCTATCTAGTTTCAGTATTTCTTCTGCAATCCACATTGGGAATCATAAAGCTAGAAATATCTAGACAGGTCATCTAGCCTGCATATACACTCACAGCCCATTTTCAAAGATCTCTGTTTAGATCTCCAGTATAGCTTGTTTGTATCTTATTTCTCAGCACCTACAGTCTAGGACAAATTACCTTTATCTTATCAATGAAGATGATGAATCACTACATTCCTAGTACACACTTTTACATACTTGGAAATCTTCAAGCAACTAGCCTTCTTTCATTAACAAGATAATCACAATTCTTTTTATCTTTCCCCAAACATCTTATTTGCTAACCTTGAGACCTTTCTTACTGAGCATCCCTTATTACTTTCCAAACCTGTTGCAACAGTTTGGTACTTTAATATGAGCTTCACAACTCCCCAGGGTTTAGATTATTTCATGATTCCTTCAAACACTAACAGTTTCATTTTTAAGTAGCAATGCTATAACTTGGAATCAATTATTCCAAACAATATTCTTGGTTCTGGGTTAACCAATCTCATATAACTTACCATCTAGTAGGAAAAACAGACATTAAATCAGTAAACAAATAGATGTCAAAATGAGGTATTGTGAAAAAAATAAGAAATAGGGGTAGAGAGGGGTTTTGTGAGGAGGAAAGAAGGCAGCAGCCATGCAAAAATATGAGACTAATGTTACAAGCAATTTTTGGCTAAAGTAGGTCTAACTGGTTATCCTGCTATATATGTATATGCATTCCTTCTGAATTAGATAACATTGCACTGCTCCCTGTTGAATCTTCTCATTCTTACTTTGAAAACTAATTCTATCGTTTAAAAGTATTTCATTACCTCCTTAACTGGTATATCCCATAAGTTTTCAAGAATGCCTTCTAATTTAAACAAGTATTTCATAATATTAGCTAATTTTTAAAATTACATTTAACAATGGATGAAAAATAACAACATTTGAAAAAAAGTTCTTTGTGTTACTGGATAGACCTAAATGACCTTTCTAGAAAATAATAACTTGGCGATGCTTTATAAGCAAAACAGGCTGAATGCAAATTGGCAGAGTATGACCCTTTCAGAAGATAAGACTGAGGAGACGACGGAATCACTGATCAGTTGCTCTAATAGTGAAAGGCCCAATACAGAAGTTAGAGGTTGGTAGACAGGTCAAGTATGTGAGATGAAGCGGCAAATCAACTGTCCAGGTTGGAGAACCTTGTGCACCTCAACAGCTCTTTGAGACATGCTGCCACCACCTGGGCAGCAGGCAATTTTGAAGTATAGGAAGATTTTAGTTGTGATTAACAGTTAATTAACAATTATAGAGTCAAAACGCACACTTTTCATTTTATGAAATTATCGTATTTTTTTGCCAAGTCTTTGAACATTAAAAAAAGGCAGAGATTTAGGCAGATGTGCTTAGAATCCTGCTGTACTTTTTTTTAGAGAGAGAGGGGGAGAGGAATAGAGAGATGGAAACATCCATTAGAGAGAGATATCGATCTGCTGCCTCTTGCACACCCCCTCCTGGTTCATGGGTCAACACTCAACCATTGAGCCACACCAGCCGGGCTCTGCTCTGGTTCCTTATCTGTAAAATGGGTATAAGAATACTATCACAGGGGTTGTTTAGTCTCAGGATTAGTGATAATAGATGTGAAGCATCTAGCTCAGTACCTGGTACATAGTAACAACTCATTAAATAGCTTTAAAAATTATTCTTCTTCAGTATATCTTCCAAATAGCACTAAAACTTGATTATTACTTTTTTTTTAATCACAGAAATATGCCTATTAAAAAATGTATTACATTGTGTATCTATGGAAGAAAAAACTCACAATATAAAACTTAGGGAAGAAACCAGTTCCATCAAAATAAGTCAAATATGTTAAGTGTTGCTGCAGGGAAATAAGCACAAAATGTTGAACATGTAAGAAAGCTCTCAAAACGTTTAGTCAGGTCTAGATCATTACAAGTGAATCTTATTCAGGTTTTACTCATTCACAATTTGACATGCGTCAGGGTAAAATGTAACTTTGTATCATCCAAAGAAAATACTTATAAACAAACACATGACAATGACTAGGAATTAACTTTCTAAGAGAAGAAAAACCTGTTACAATTTTGTAAGATTCCATTTTCAAAATATAATTGCAATAGAGCAGCGATTTTCAACCTTTTTCATTGCATGGCACACTTTAACTAGAGGCCCAGTGCACGAATAAGTGCACAGGTGGGGTCCCTCAGGTTGGCTTGTGGAGATCAGGCACCAGCTTGCGACCCCAGCCTCGCAGCCCCACCTGGCACCTTGCTGTGGCCTGGCACCGCCCCCTCACCTGCGCCACCATCCCGTCCCCTGCCCCCTGCCCCCTGCCACTGGTGGCTGTCTGTAGGGCAATCGGGCCCCCGCTTGCACCTGCCTTGGCCTGGTGCCGCCCGCTCACCTGCTCCACCATCCTGCCACGGTCCCACTCTCGTTGGTGCCCATCGTAGCTGGCAGCGCCTCCACTGCCGCCCGCTGCCAGCGCCATGTATGCTGACACTCGCCATGTTCCGTGCTGCCCCCTGGTGGTCAGTGCACGTCATAGTGAGCAGTCAAACTCCCAGTTGAACTCTCCTTCGAATGACGGCCTAAGGGGACAATTTGCATATTAGGCTTTTATTATATAGGATTCCTAAGTGGAACAACAACAAAAAAAATGGCTTTCTCTCTCTCCCTTCCTCTCTCTCTCTCTCTCAAATCAATTTCTATGCAAAGACAAACCCTACTTAATTAAAAGTGTAAGGTTTAGTTAATTTGGTTATTTACATGGATACAGTTTTATTTCTTAAAAATAAATACAGGCAGACCTCATTTCCCTGTTATTCTAAGCTGGTATTATGAAAGACATTTGAGAGAGAATTAAAACCCATTTAAGGACTTTTTCAAATAAAGAATAAGACCTTAACAAAACTGGCTATGATGTTTCCACTAAATTCCTTATTCTGCATTGCTTATGAAGCATAAGTCAGAAAAGTGGCCAAATCCAGTTCAACTGACAGAATTTGAAAGTGGAAAGAACACCAGCAATAACTAGTATACTTTCCACAAACAGAAGGGGAAAGAGGCTCAGAGTGACTGAGAGTATACATGATCAGCAGAGACAGGTGAATCTCAACTCACAAACTTGACTCTCACTACAGAAGGAACCAATCTTGACACTGCCTCTCATTCAGGCAATGCAGGTTGCAACAGGAGCTCAGCAGTGGCAACTCTATGCCATACCTGGGCTTGCAGCCTGCCCTGGACCTGGAAGCTAGCTCGGTAACACTAGACTGTGAAGGCATGGTAGAACACTAGAGCCAACGAGCTACAGAGGCTTTCTCATGCACTTTTCCCTCTGGCCCAGGACTCCTATGTGCTTAACAAGGGATGCAGCAAACTGTTGGGGAGGCAGTAATGGGGGAAACTGTCTCTCCACCTTGGCCTCTGGAATGAAGGTTAAAATAAATTCTGAACCCCTCCTGGAATTACTACTTGGACAAGTTTTAAAAATTCACATAAAGTTACCTCCAGCAAGAAGTTTTCAGTAAACACAGTCCAGGGACTGACTCTGCTTTTTCTGGCTACGACAGGTACAGGCTAGGTCCAAGTAGCTTTGAAACCATCATCCAAGTTTTCAAACAAGGATAAGAAAACAACTGCTGCTAATAAAACATACAAACATTAACATATGCCCAACGTAACACTATTTTAGATCATTAGATTATTTGCCAAGAGCCCGTTCCCTGGTAAATAATAGTTACTGTTGTTCTACCTAAACTAGTTATACATGTTACAGCTTGCTCCTCAAAGAGTACATTCCATAGTCTTTCAAGAATAAAAACCTGCTTTATTTGTCATACAACAGTGAAGAGGTCTTGCAACATTTGCACAAGTAGTCAAACAGCGCAGTGCAGTGCAGGCCATCACAAAGTTTGGTCGCCAACCAAACCAGAGCTAATCTCTCGGTTCCCGCAGATGAGAAGACAACATTAACTCACTCCTGCTGGTTGACTTTTGCATCCTTTACTTGTGTGCTGAAAGAACAAGTGCCTCTGTGGGAACTCGATGCAGTTTAATTATTGATCGTTTACTTTGGGCAAATATCGATCATTCTTTTGCGAAATGAGTTAGGTTCTTCAATTAAAAACAAACAGCAAAAAGTCCTCACACAGCACGGCTGCATTTCCCCTTAGTAAGAAGATTCAGCGCACCCACCAGGGTCCAACTGTTTTTCCGTCTCCTCTACGCGAGGCTTTAACTGCAGTGAAAGGAGTGGTTGGGTGGCCCTCACCTTGACTTTGGGCAGTTTGTGGGGACCAACGCCTTTCTCGCCGCCGCTCTGGGGTCGGAGTTTCCA